ACTGCAAACGGGGATCAGGAGTAGGGAGCGTGAGGGCAGGGGGCTGGCGGGTCGCTTGCTCATGTGCCTCGCACATCAGTTTGCGCATATATGACGCTCTCATGCCTGGCTTCTCTCCCCAGGGGGGAGCCATGGGAGAGGACAGCAAAATGGAAAAAAGGGAGAAGATTCTACAGAAAGGCATGGTGATGGCCTATAAGAAGAAGAAGCTGATTATCAAGGGCAACAACTGGGGTAAGTGAAGGCTGAAGGGGGCAGAGGGGAGAGGGGCCTGAGAAGAGAAACACGAGGGCAAAACCTGTCCACAGGCCACCTGGGCCGCCCCGCCCCTCCATGGAGGAGGAGGAGACACGTCTCTCAGCGTCCCGGGCACACACTCCCCTCCCCCCACACCCTGCCGGCCACCTCCGCCCATGGCCCCAAGGAAATGTTAGAGATACGAAACAGTCTCCCGCATGGGGGCGGTTGGTCAAAACGGGTGCCCAACACAGAGGTGTCCTTAGCGCAGGGCAAAGTGCAACCCGAATCGCAGCCACCCCCATACAGCAGGGCCCCACCGATCCCAGCAGCTCAGCTGCGTGGGGGCAGAGCCCTCGCAGGTCGCCCATCACCCCCGTTTCAGCCCACCAGGTGTCTTCACAGCAGCTACAGACGGTAGCCGTGACGCCCTAGTCACACGAGGCAGGATTTCGTGGGCACCTCTCCCTCTCTCACAAGCCTCAGATGAACAGTCCCCGCACACACACTCTTTGGGTTCAGGCCCCATGTGGGTGAGCAATCGATGCCAGCCTGTCACTGCAAACCCGGGTAGAGCAGTGAGCCCTGGAAACACGACCAGCTCGGAGTCCCTGGTCTCTCCTGTCCCCCTGTGGAGTCCCGGCTAGAGCTCAGGCTGACACAGCCGGGGTCCACCTCCTGTTCTGTCTCCTTCGTGGGCTCTTGTCCCCTGTCCAATGCTTCAGTCTTATTGTTAGGTAGTTTTCAGATCTCAGTGCATTTCTTAGAGGAAATTTGAAATCCCCAGGGGGATGGCAGGACTGGGAGTGGGCAAGGGAGGAGGGGACACAGGAGAGGAGCACACAGGCCACCAGGAAGACCCCATCCTCGGAGGAGGAGCAGGGGGCCAATTTCCATCACCTCCTAAAGGTGGTTCTCTAGTGTCGGATGCATAATGAGCACCCAAGGTGCTGACTTAAATGCAGAGCCCAGGGTGCTTTTCAGAGCCTGATTCACAAACAGAGACTGAGGTCAGGGACCCTGAGTGTCAGCAAGCATCCAGGTGATTCTGACGGAGGGTCCCCAGGCCACACAGAGAAGCGCCCGCCCCGGCCTGGAGGAGGGGTCCCAGGGCTGCAGGCGGGGTGTGAAGACCCCAGCAGGAATAACCTTGGCTCTCCTGACCTGGCTTCTTTTCCATCGCAGACATCTCAGATGATGACAAGCAGAGAACCTTCCCAGAAGGTGAGTCTTCAGAGCCGGGCAGGTTCTCTGCTGAGTCCTCAGGCCCCCTGAGCTCTGATCCCCTTTGGAGGCTAATAAGAGGGGGCACAGCCCCCAAAACCCACAGAAAACCTTCCCTAGCTGGGCAGCTCCCAGCCTTTGAGCCACCTGAGGCACTGCCCATGGGGGAGGCCACCTTTCTCCTTTGAACACTGAGATGGGGTCACAGTGTGGGACCTGCTGGGGCTCCAGGTCTCCAGGCACTGTGTCAGCTGAAGTAGTGGTAAGAGGTGGGAAATAAGAGGGAGGAGGAGAGACCTGAAAGGGGGGGGGGAGAAGGCTGGGGAAGGACCCCGGGGAAGGGGAGTGGAGGGAGTCCCTATGAGCCAGCACCTGTTTCTCTTTCCAGAACAACTGCACATGTTAATGTCATCAGGTAAGTGGGTGACATTAGAGCCAAAAGTGGGTCTGATCTCCCCCCACAAAAGGCCACTTTGTACAACAAAAACCCTGTGTGATTGCCTTTGCAGTCCCTACCTGAGGCCTGGGTTCTGGCCCCCTGGGCAAAGGGCAGGTGTGGGTGGAAAGGGGGGCTCAGGGAAGGAGGGGACAGAAGGTCAGAGTCACCGCGTGGCTTCAGACACTGACTCCGATTTGTCTTCTAGGCCCTGTAAATCCTACCATCCTGCCAATAGGTGAGTGTGTGTGCTGGGCATCCCATCATGCACGCACCTGTTGTGTGCACCACTGACCGAAGGCCTGGCCCCAGTTTCTGTGGTTGGGAGGGTCCAAGAAGGCCTGGCATGGAGGGAATGGACCAGGGTGGGGCAGGAAGGGGTTGAGGAAGAGGGAGAGGCAGTAACAGGGCAGAACCCACCATTGTGTCCCTAAAACCAATTTGTGTTTGAGGAAAGATGATGACTTGAGATTCTCTTAGCAGGAAGAATTGGGGAACCCTTTTGGTGAGGTTAGTGCTCAAGTGAGGAGGGGACTCAGGAGAGGGGCACACAGGGCACCAGGAAGACCCCATCCTCACAGGAGGAGGAGGAAGTCAGACCCTTCCCCTTGCAAAGGCAGGTCTCTGGTGCTAGATGCATCACGAAGTGCTTATTTAAAAGAAGAGCCCAGGGTGCTTTTCAGAACTGATTCAGAAACACAGACTGAGGTCAGGGACCCTGAGCGTCAGCAAGCATCCAGGTGATTCTGACGGAGGGTCCCCAGGCCACACAGAGAAGTGCCCACCCCGGCCTGGAGGAGGGGTCCCGGGGCTGCAGGTGGGGTGTGAAGACCCCAGCAGGAATAACCTCCACTCTCCTTGTGTGAGTGATTAGTTTGTTCTCTTAGGTTCTTGTCCCCACAGCCAGAAAGAATTGAAGGGCAGAGACACAGTAGTGAAGCCAAATGAAAGTTTTATTTGCATATACTCTAAGGCAGGGGCTAGTGTCAAGGTAGACAAAGACAGATTTACTTGAATAAAGCAGAGAGGAAGGAAAAACAGAGGGAAGAAAGGGAAGCTCATTGAACTGCTGCTTAGCACAGGGCAAATCCCTTGCCAACCACTAAAGCCAGTGTCACCTGGCATCCAGTGTCTGCTTGAATCTGCACCGTGTGGGAACTGAGTCCCTACCACCCCAGGATTTGGGGGAGCCACAGAGCCCAGGTGGTAGAGTGAGATTATGTTCTGAGAACTTCCTAAAGGCAAAGAAAGGAGATTTTCTGGCAGGTTACTAAGGAGCACGATCATATAGCCAGTTTCATCTGCGTTAGCAGGAGACAGGAACTTGCACACCCAAATCAGAGCTCTCAGTAGCCATTCCCTACTAATCTGAAGTAGGACGAGAGAAAAACACTGGAAGAAAGGCAAATGCAGGGAACGTCAGAGAAGAAGAGGTACACCCATAAGCTGGGATACTGTCTTTGAAGGAGTTTCAAGAATGGGATAAAGATCAAGCACTGGGGGGTGTAGGTTTCTCAGATGGTCTCATAACACTTATATACAGTGAGAGGCAATATGTCATTGTCTATAGCCAGTTCTCCAGGTAATTCTGTAGGAGAAACCTCTTATTTCTCTCTCAGACAGTGGCCACCCCTAAGTATTGGGAACGTATCAGTTAAGACTGCTTGCCTTCCCTTAAGATAAGTCATTGGCTGATTACAAAAGAATGTTAGGAATCTAACTTCCCAATTCTCTTCCAAAAGTGCAATCCTAACCTTAAATAAAGTCCCTCATGTTCTTATTATGTTAATCTTGGCATTTTGGGATGCTTGTCCCTTGTCTCTGTCCCATCTCGCCTGCATTAGCTAGGGCAAGTCTCCAGATTAGCCCAGACTTAGAGAGTGTGGAATGAACTCATTTCAAAGGGCATTATTAACTCAGTGAGTTTTTTCTGACTCTCTGGCTTTAGTTAATTAACTTCCTGAGTTCCTGGTGTGCTTCACCCTCTTATCATATCGCTCATATTTGTCTTTCTGCCTAACATCTTGACCTGGCTTCTTCTCCATCCCAGACATCTCAAATGATGATCAGCAGAGAACCTTCCCAGAAGGTGAGTCTCAGAGCCGGGCAGGTTCTCTGCTGAGACCTCAGGCCCCACTGAGCCCTGACCCCGTTTGGAGGCTAATAAGAGGGGGCTTATCCCCCAACACCCATAGAAAACCTTCCCAAGCCAGGCAGCTCCCAACTTTTGCCCTGCTAAAGGCCCTGGCTGCAGAGAAGGCCACCTTCTCCTTTAAACACCGAGGTATGGTCACAGTGGGGGACTTGCTGGGGCTCCAGGGGTCCAGGCACTGTGTCAACTGAATTAGTATTAAGAGATAGGAAATAATGGGGAGAGGGTAGAGAGCTGGGAAGGGGAGGGAGAGGGCTGGGGAAGGACCCTGGGGAAGGGGAGTGGAGGGAGTCCCTGTGAGCCAGCACCTGTTTCTCTTTCCAGAGCAACTGCACATGTTAATGTCACCAGGTGAGTGGGTGATTTTAGAGCCCAAAGTGGAGTCTGATCCCCTCAACCCCATGAGGCTTCTCTGCACAACAAAAGCCCCCTGTGATTGTGTCTGCAGTCCTTACTTAAGGGCCTGGGATCTGGCCCCCAGGGCAAAGGGCAGGGCTGGATGGAAAGCAGAGGGTCAGGGAAGGAGGGGACAGAAGGTGAGAGGCACCGAGTGGCTTCAGACACTGACTCCAATTTGTCTTCTAGACCCTGTAAATCCTACCATCCTGCCAATAGGTGAGTGTGTGTGTGCTGGGCATCTCATCGTGCACACACCTGTTGTGTGCACCACTGCCTGAAGGACTGGTCCCAGTTTCTGTGGTTGGGAGGGTCCAGGAAGGTCAGGAGGTGGAGGAATGGACCAGGATGGGGCAGGAAGGGGTTGGGCAAGAGAAGGAAGTAGGAGGGCAGAGTTCACCAATGCATCTCTTAAACCAACTTGTGTGCAAGGAAAGAGATGATAACTTGTGATTCTCTGCAGGAAGAATAGAAGAACCCTTTTGGCGAGGTGAGTACTTATTAAAAGGAAATTTGGGGTCTTATGATCAGGATACTCCCATTGAAAACTCAAATGGAGGTTTCCATGCAAGTGACAACACTGAGCTCTACTTCCCGTAATTGACACTTTGGTCAGCCCCTCTCATCATTCGTTCGTTCGTTCGTTCGTTCGTTGGTTCGTATTTGGATTCTCCAAGCATTTACTGGGGTCTGTTGGGCAATCGGCATTAACCTGAACACTGAGCAAACAAAACACGAACCACACAGAAATTCCTGCCTGCCTGGGGCTTCCACCCACGTGACCTCTCCTGCTCAGCAGATCACCTTGAGGCCTCCTCACATCTCCTGGGGGAAGCAGAGAGCCCCTGACATGCTCTCCTCAGTTCATTCTGTGGTCAGCAGCTAAAGGGACAGAGGAGTTTTGCTCAGGTTCATGGGAAAGGGCTGATCATCCCGGGAATGTTCTGATGTAAGCGCTGCCCCCATTTCCTGGTTGGCATGAAACCCTGAGGGCAGATTTCAGGTGCCTCCAAGAAGAGGTTTCTGAGAAAGCGGAGGCTGTGGCCCGGCTCCCCAGAGACGTTCAGGATGTCGTGTTCTCTAGTGTCCAGGACATGCTCCAGGACCGAGAGGCCCTGGAGGCCCTCGTGCACACGGTGAGAGGCTCCCTCAGCTTACAAGGGCTGACCACACTGGTGGACGGGAAATGATCAGGAGACACGCTGCCACGATCTGGGGGGAGGAAGAATGGGGCGATCGCAGGGCAGTGAGGACATCTGAGCTGTGGGGCTCTGGCCCTCTGTCCACTGACCAGAGCCAAGGAGCACCCCACATACCAAGGGTGCTTACTGTCCCCTGGGGAGGCAGAGAGCCGGCACCTCCGTCCCTTGGTTAACTACTCACAGACACAGAATTCATAGGCAGAGTCACATGACAGTGTCACACCATCGTCCTTGTCAACATCTGTCTCCCAAAGCTTGAACAGGAATCTTTGGGTCATTTGAACGGCCCTGGCAGCACCATCCTAAATAAGCTGCAAGAGGATTCCGGGTATTCATGGAGTAACACAAAGTACCTCATCCTTTACCTGCTTGAAGCCATAGTCGGTAAGTGGTCTGGGGGAAGGCTGGGAGGGGCACACGGTGGCCCCCAGAGCCCCTGCATTAGACGCCCCCTCTCCACAGCGCTTCGAACGTTATGTTTTTGCCTCCTCCCATCACACCTCTGTCCGAGGTCAGGAGGGCTCAGTGGGTGGACTTGCCGTGTGACACAGAGGCAGCCCGAGGTCTAGAAGGTGACCCGTGGGGGTTCACCCAGCAGAAGCCTGTGGCTCCAGAGTCAGGCTCCCGTCCTCTGACCATGTCATGTGGCACCCTGGAGGCCATCCCAGGAGCCGGAGGGGGACTTCCCAGAGCTGGGCACTCGGCCCCAAGCCTAGTGGGCTTCTCCCTCTGCCTCAGAGTTCCCTCCTCATGGGGTCCCCTAGTTCCCAGGGGGAGAGGAACATCTGACTCTTCGTCACTCGTTCCCCAAATGCGCCCCGTCCCCAGTGCTGAATGACACCCAACTTGATCTGCTGGCCCAGTCCATGGAGAAGGGGATCCTGCTGCATCAGCGGGAGCTGGTGAGAAACCCCCAGGGGCCAGCATCCCTGGGAGGAGGGTGAGGGTCCAGCAGAGGAGACCGATCTGAGCACAGAGAGAGCCTCTGCTGGGAGGGGGACCGTCCCGGGTGGCCTCTGGGAAGTCAGGCTGCATCTCCCAGAGGAGCAGACCCCATGGGCTTGCATGCCCTCTGGAGGGTCTCAATGTCCAGGGCAACCCCTGCAGAGGTCCCCACGGTTCTCAAATAGCTTCATAGGAATACAGGTTGGGGAGCTCAGGGCATCTGAGCCATATTCCTGCTTATTTACACAGCTCTGTTTGCAAACTGCTCCCTCTTTCTCTCCATGTATCATATATATGAGCATGTGTGTGCAAACATACTTACATGCACACACATGTACACATACACACACATATCTAATTCCAAGCACTACTATTCTGCAAAGTAATTGTTAGTGTCACCGTTCAGCACCTGAGGAACCGATGCTCCACATGTTCAAGGTCACATTGATCACAGGACACGCCCAGGACATGACTCCCAGCCCCTCCGGTCCAAGGCTCTTTCTCCCTCAGAGACCCCGCATGCCCCCAGCTCCAGGGACAGAAGGTTTTCTCTTCCCAACCTCACAGCCGATGTGTGACACCTGATACCGGTTTCTTCCAGGTCCGGAGTATCCTGGAGCCCAACTTCAAGTACCCCTGGAACATTCCCTTCACCCTGAAGCCCGCGCTCCTGGCCCCCCTCCAGGGCGAGGCTTTGGTGATCACCTGTGGCCTGCTGGAGGAGTGCGGCCTGGAGGTGAAGCTGAATAGGCCCTGGTCCACCTGGGACCTGGAAGCCAACCAAGCAGCCTCTGTCTGCCCTGTATGGGGCCCTGTCGGTCCTGCAGCAGCTGGCGGCAGCCTGAGCCCTGCATGGGGGGCGTCTGTCCAGAGCGGCCTGACCCTCCCGAGGCCACGCTGTGAGTGCCCTCCCTGGGCTCAGGGCACCTAGGGCTACACCCCTCTGCCTTTCCAGGGGAGAAGAGGGGTGGGGCAGGGCTCAGTGGAGACTCGATGGAAGGTTCTGGTGGGATGAAAATATCTGTATCTTGATAAAGTTTCATGCATTTGTCAAAATTCATCAAATAGTATCTAGAGATGCGAGCATTTCACTGTATGTACATTTTACTTTAAGATAGTGTAAACAAATATTGAACTCTAATATGCAAATTGAATGTTTGGGGTGAATGATGCTGGTATCTTTTAATTTACTCTGAAATGCGTGAAGAAAATCATGTGCGTTAAGGGGTAGATAAACAGATATGTGTCCAAGGATATATGGTGAAATATTAAAAAGAAGAATCCTTTTTTTTTCTTGAAACAGGCTTTGCCTCACCCCACTCCATGGGATTGATGGTAGAAAGTCAGATACATGACCATAGAATGAAGTAAAATGTTAATAATTGGGGAATATGGGTGTAGGATATATAAGAGTTCTTTTTAGTTCTTAAAACATTTTGTAAGCCTGAAATTGTTTCAAATAAAAGCTCTTTTCCATCTGTGTTTATGTATTTACATCTCTATCTATAGAGTGATGTACAGACAGAGATATGTATGTGTCTGTACATTTATATGTATGTGTGTGTATACACACATATATATTTATTATTATTTTTTTTTAATTTGAGATTTCCCTTCAGGTCACTTCTGAAGGTCTTGTCTCTTGTGCTGTGACCCAGGGCTCTTTGTTTCCTTTGCTAATACCACTCAGGCACCTGAGTGTAATTTTGTTGTCTTCTCTAAGGGGAACGAATTCTGAGTACTTTTCCCTCCACTGAAGTGCTTTTCCATTGTCTCTAACTCTCCCAACCCAAGAGTCTGGGAAGCAGGAAGCCAAACTGCCTGCTGCGATCAGAATTCATTAGAAGAATATAGTCCTGTCTTAAAAATTCATATGCATTTGTTCATTTCTCTGTGACATTCACCCCTTCATACAACAAATATTTATTGTGCCCTACTATGTGCCACGTACAGTTCTAGGGGTTGAAATCCAACAGAGAGAAACACTGGAGCAAATTTCTCCCTTTTTATTCTGATGTATTAATCAAATTAAGTTCATTGTAATATTTTATAAATACCTTATTATAATATAATAACAGGATAAACAGCTAAAATCAAGGTGCATAGCTAAGATTGTGTGAGAACACACACACTGGGGGAGCAGGCCTGTTGTGTGGGTTGGGAGAGGTTTCCCTGGGAAGGGGGAATAGGGCTGACATCAGGGCTGAGGTGCTAGGTAATCGGGTGGGGTGGCATGGTCTCAGTGATGGGAAAATGTAACGGCGATAAGGGAAACCCGTATGTTCAGCAAAATGAAAGGCTGTGCGGTTAGAGGAGGAGAGGCCGGCTGGGAAGTGAGGCTGGAAAGAGAGGCCGGGGCATGATATGTCCTTGAAACCTCATGGACCATAGAAGCTCATGGAAGAGCTTTAAGCAGTAGTGTGGGGTGACCAGAAATGGATTTTCATAGAGGTGTAATTTACATAAATAAAAAATTCACATTCCTTTGTGTTCTTTATGAGTCTTAACAGAAGCAGGCAGGCGTCCAACCACCACCACCGTCAAGATACAGAGCAGTTCCACCCTCTCCCTAAGGTCCCTGGTGACCTTCTGCAATCAAGCCCCCTCCTCCCCTCATAACCACTGATTGGTTTTCTGTCTCAACATAGAAATGCAATCCTACTGTAAGCCTTTTGAGTTAAAAAAATTGATTCTTATTATTGAGTTTTGAGAGTCCTTTTTTTGGGTTTATTGGAATATAAAGGGCCTACAGCTGTGTAAAAATTGAAGGTGTACAACATAATGATTTAACTTACATATATCATAAAATGATTACTACAGTAAGCTTAGTTAACATCCAGCATCTCATAGAGACAAAAAGAAGGAAAGAAAAAAACGTTTTTTTCCCTTGTGATGAGAACCCTTAGGATTTTCTCTCTTAACCCCTTTCATATATACTGTACGGTAGTAGGTCGCCTTTTCATTGTGTTGATGGTGTCCTTTGCTGTGAGGAAGCCTTTTAGTTTGATATGGTCCCACTTGTTCATTTATTCTTTTGTGGCCTTTTTTGGGCATCAAATCTAAAAAAATTATTTTCCATCTGTGTTTATGTATTTACATCTCTATCTATAGAGTGATGTACAGATAGAGATAGATATGTATGCATGTCTGTACATTTATATGTATGTGTGTGTATATACACATATATATTTATTATTATTATTTTTTTAATTTGAAATTTCCCTTCAGCTCTCTTCTGAAGGTCTTATTTGCCTCTTGTGCTGTGACCCAGGGCTTACCACCAGTTTTCTTCTGGAAGTTTGCTAGTTTAAGGTCTTAACATTTGAGTCTTTAATCCATTTTGAGTTAGTTTTGGGTCTGGTGTAAGGAAGCGGTCCAGGTTCATTCTGCATGTAGCTGTCCGGTTTTCCCAGCACCACTGAAAAGACTATCCTTTTCCCATGTTGTATGCTTGGTTCCTCCCTGGTAAATTAATTGACCATATATGTGTGAGTTTATTTCTGGGTTCTCTATTCTGTTCCATTGGTCTTAGTGTGTCTGTTTTTATATCAGTATTATACATGTTTTGATTACTATAACTTTGTAATATAGTTTGAAATCAGGAACGTGATGCCTCCAGCTTTGTCCTTTCTCAAGATTTCTTTGGTATTCAGGGTCTTTTATGGTTCCATACAAGCTTGAGGATTATTTGTTCTATTCTGTGAAAAATGCCATTGGAATTTTGATAAGGATTGTGATAGAATCTGTAGATGGCTTTGGGTGGTAGGGACATTTTAACAACATTACTTCTTCCAATCCATGAGCATGAAATAGCTTCCCATTTATTCATGTCTTTTTCAATTTCTTTAACCAAAGTCTTAAAGTTTTCAGTGTAAAGTCTTTCACTCCCTTGGTTAAATGTTCTCCTAGGTATTTTATTCCTTTTGATGATATTGTAAGTGGGATTGTTTTCTTAATTTTCTTTTTGATAGTTTACCATTAATGTGTAGGAACACACCATATTTTTGTACATTTATTTAGTATGAAGAGATGGTTCTCTCCCTATTGAATGTTCTTGTCACCCTTATCAAAAATCATTTGACTTATTCCTGGGCTCTTAATTTTAGTAGCAAGATATAGAAAATAAATAATGTATTAGTTTCCTAAGGCTGCTGTAACAAAGTGCCATAAACTGGGTGACTTAAAACAACAGAAATGTTTCCTTTCATAGTTTTGGAGGCTAGAAGTCTGAAATCAATGCTCCCTTTGATGGCTCTCAGAAAGAACCATCTTTCTTGTCTCTTCTAGCTTCTGGTGGTTTCCAGCAATATTTGACATTCCTTGGCTTGTAGATGCATCAGTTCACTCTCTGCCTCTATCTTCATCTGGCTTCTCCTTGAGTGTCTCTTGTTTATGAGTTATTTTCTTTGTAAGGACGCCAGTCATACTGGATTCAGGGTCCACTCTCATCCAGTATGACCTCTTAACTAAGTATATCTGCAAAGATTCTAGTTCCAGATAAGGTCACATTCTGAGGTTCTGGGTGGATGTGAATTTTCAAGTGGGTTTTCCTGGCTTCAGGCGTGTGAAGGGATGCACACATCTGTGTGGGTATAGGCAGCTGACTGAGGAGATAGGCCCACTTAGTGCCCTTTAAAATACGCTCTGGACACACACACACACACACACACACACACACACACACACACACACAACCCGAGCTACTGCAGACTCAGCTTCAGGTTGCCAGTCTGCGATCCCTCACAGGCCAGAGCAACAAATTTGTCCCAAGTAGAATTACAGGTCACTGGAGACTGGCTCCTGGGTGGGGAATGGTTTGGAAAGGGAGTGTGCGTGGCAGTAGGGAGAATGTTGGAAATGTTTCTCTAATTGTCCAGGCACTAAGGGGTGTAGTCCAAAAGGAAGAAGCTTAAAAGTGAATATACTTAATTTGAGGTTAAGTGAATTCCAGGAATACCTTGGGGGTAATTAAAAAAAAAAACTTGATTGCTAAGTAGGGCCACATCTCTGTGGTTTATCTATTGAAATGATAGGGTTTGCCAATATTTTCTTGTAAATATCTAAACATTCCAGAAGGTGGCAGCATTGTCCAACTGCAGGAAGCTTGTTGGCGATGCTGGACACTGCCTTGGCACCTATGCCACTAGAGGCAGTCTCCTCTCTGCCATCTCTGCTCTCCTGCGCGCCTCACACCATTTCTCTCTTCCTCCTCTTTCAGTTTCCTCCCTGCTGGGTTAACCTGGACTAGGCTGGGAGAAACGGGGCCGTGGCAGAGGGGTTAACACTGGTCTCTTTTCATATCCTTAGAATAGAATCTCCCTCTTAAAATTTACATTGTATTATAAAAGACTCCCTTAAAGATATCTGGGAGGTAAGGCCTGAATTATGGGGAACTGAGACCTATTTTCAACGTTTCACAGAAGCTCCCACCTGGTAATATGGCAACCGCTTATGCTGGATTTTGTGATAAATCTGATTGTCTCATACTGAGCAGAAGTCCAGGTTATGAGTTTGAAGTGTCTTTCAATAAATAGGGATATATTGTTTTAAAATAAATTCAGCCAAGAAATGACGCTGTTTCAAAACACTGAAACTTTGGTCAACACATAAGAAGGCAGGGGTGGTGGAAATACTGGGATTCGCTCTCTCGGTGGAAACAGAGCTTGTCGGGGAACCCTTAGAAGATCATCTGTGTGGGTTGGCGGGCAGCTGCAGGAATGCAGGTTTGGGGTTTGACAAGATTGCCAGCTTTGTGACTTCTGGTAAGTAATGCAAATTCTCTGAGCTTGATTTTTTGATTGGATTGTTACTGGATCAAACTAAATAATGCAGATAAAGAAACTACCACAGTACCTAACATATGGTTGATAAGCTTTTTGCCAAAGAATTGAACTAAGAGTAATAGTATTGTTACGTTTTAGAGGCTGGCTGTGTACCTGATATTGTGGCCATGGGGAGAGTCGAAAGCAGTGGCTGAGAAGAACGTCATTCTCTGGTATGGAACATTTAAATTATTGTTTTAAATTTTTAGATCTTGTTAGACAACTGAGCATATTTAAAAATGTCCCCTCCCCCTGGAGTGGGTTAATAAGTAATGGGTCAGAGGCTAGATACTACTTTTCTTGCATATTCACAGCACATAGTCTAGTGCACAATATCCACCCTTAAAAAGCAAGCTTCAGTGGGTCTTTGCATTTGAGTACAGTTAGCCCTCACTTACCCGAGGCTGGCATGGAGGAAAGTCTTGCTTATAATCTGCACTGTCCTAAATGTCACAGAGGAAGTGAGGCAGCGATTTACTGCCATTATTGACCTCTTATTTCTGAGGAGCCTGCTGTAAAATGGATAGTCTCATATGACAATGGAAATAGGGAGTGTGGGAATCTGAATGTGGCAAATGTTGGTGCCACATCTTCCTCTCAAGCTTTCTTTAGGCCAGCAGAGGGCAGGAGAGTATGCTCCCCACCTGTCCCCCAGGTG